CCTCTTGCAGGGAGGTGGGACACAGCTCCCCCAAGGGTCTGAGCCCTTGGTTCTGTGTGTGTTCACACACTCGGGGGCGGTTTGCCATTGGCTACTGGACGTGATGGGAACTCCCTTCTTGTCAAACTCAGGGACAGTCCCTCAGCCCCTGTCCCCCTCTCCTGTGTGCCCCAGTGGCCTCTGCCGGGCTGGGGCCAAGCCACCAACTGGCTCCCAGGAATGTCACCTTGAGGTGGTAGATGTTGTCTTCGGTGTCAAGGTCAATGCGCTGGGCCTTTTTGTTGATGGACATGACGGACAGTCGGACATCGATGGAGCCATGGAGCTTCCCCTTGGTGATCTGGGGGGAGGGATGGCAGGGGAAAGGGGCTGGTTTTAGACTTCCGGGCCACAGAGCCATCATGTCCCCGAGGCCCCTTTAGGCAGCAGGTTCACGCTCTGGCCCAAGTCACAGAGTCAACAGGGACCTCTCTGTCATCCACCTGTACACAGAACTCAGAAGTCACATTCTGAGTTCAAGGGAGTCACAGGGCAGGGGAAGCAATCCCCATGCTTAGGGGTCTGCAGGCTGAGGAAGAAAGACCCTGGGCTGCTTGGCTTTCGGTTTCTATTCCGAGCCCGAGAATGGGACAAGGAGAATAACAAAGCTTTATTTTCTTGGGCTCTTTTGTGTCAGGCACTGTCCTGAGGGCCCTAACCAAGACGGCAATTACCCTACAACTGGGTGACCGCACTCTGCCCATCTTAGAGATGGAGCTGGAGCCCAGGGAAGATGCTTGCTCAAGACGCCGCACCAGCAATGGTGTGCCTGGGATTCTGGCCCTGATCTGGGGCATTCCAGAAGCCCCTGCCCAGGGCATTTCGGGACCAGACCTCTCCCACTACGCCCACCAGGCCCTGGCTCACATCTTGCCGGGTAGTTGCATAGCGAAGGATCCCGTCCTCAAGCACAAAGTATCTCTGTGACGTTGCCCAGGAGGAACAGGATCCAGGCGACCGAGAGAAAAGGGTGTGGGGAGAGAGCACCGTACACATAAACTTTTCTTCTTCTTCTCAACACACACGCACACACACACACACACACGTGCGTACACACACCCAGGACTACCCAGCAGCCTCCAGCATACCCCCATCCCGCCCTGAACCTGGCCCTGCCCTTTGTCTTGCCCAACCTACCTTGTGCCAGCCCTTCAGAGGCCACTTCCTCTTCTTGAGCAGGTGGCCTTCCTGCCTCTCGGGCATAACACCCTCTGCACCTCTCTGGCCCCGAGGCTCCTCCACCACTTCCCACAGCTCAGAGGCCTGCAGCCCAGGACAGAGTTGGGCGGGGCGGGGGGGGAAGGAGGTATGGCGGAGTGGCTGGTGAGGCCCTTTTGGGCCAAATGAAGCCCACCCACTGCCCACTTCGCGCCCTCAGACCTGCTGAGCACTGCTGGGCTTTGCACACTGTGTGCTCTCGGACAGCGAGGGAGGGCCCCTCTCTTGAAAGTCCATGGAGGAGGGAGCGGCCACTCCCTGCTGAGGACTCAGAGCAGGGCAGAAGGGGAAGGATGTCACCTTGTCCTGAGGGGGTCCTTGAAGCAAGAGAGAGACCTCATAAGCACAGACCCTGCCATCACCTTCTCTACCTCCAATCTCCCCCGCATCCTCTGAGATCAGAGATCACTAGCACGCCTTCCACTCACCTGCCTGCCCCTCCTGAGTCTGTCCTTACCACACCTTGGTTGGGCCTCCCTGTCTACGCCCTCCTGCAGCCACTGTGCGCTAGTTTACTAAGAGGCAGGCCAGTGCCTTGAGAGAACCACTAGAAGTCCACGCAGCCCCACCCTGAGCACACATTCTTGAGCTCCAGGAAACACTCAGTGTTTTCTCTGGAGGATTCCCTGGCGGTGATAAGAGGTGAGGCAGAGGAGTGAACAAAGAGGCTCCGAAAAAAGGCCAGAGGAATTCAGAGACTAGACAAGCAAGATCTCAATCCAACTCCTCCTTCTTCAAGACCCCTGCACCCCCACTCAATGGCTTGGAGACTCTTCTGCCATGACATGACCCCGCTGCAAAGCCCCCCAACCCCTTCATCCCAACTCCCCACCAATTGGTCCCCATATCCTCTAGTGTTTGGGCTCCCATTTTCTACATGGTGAAACTCAGGCCTGAGACAGCCCTCATTGTTCCCTGTGCCTCCTCCCATCAAACAGCCTCCTTAGATGCCCACCTTGGACCCTCAGTCTCCCCAAAGCCTCGTCACTCTCTTTTTTTCATCCCAGTCCCTGGGGCTCCTGAGACGTACCACCCACCCAGACAGAGCAGGGGGCTGAGCTGAAGGAGACAATGGGGAAGGCGGGGAGGAGGAGAGGTGGCCAAGAGGAGAGCATGCCAAGGTCTGCACAGGTCCCGCAGCAGTGCCCACAGGCGCCCTTGGCACCAGCCCTGGCCATCCTGGCTCCACCGGGAGATCGATAATGCATGAAATGCATGAGGCTCTGTGTGTGTGTGTGTGTGTGTGTGTGTGTGTGTGTGTGTGTAAGAGAGAGAGAGAGAGAGGGAGGGAGGGAGAGAGAGAGAGGAGGGAGGGGACTGGAGGGGCGAGGTTGGCCTGAGGCTGGGGAAACTGCCTCAGATCTTCTGATGGAGCCCATAAGCACCTGAAGAGTTGAGGCCAAAGGGAACAGGAGGGACACAGTGGAGCGGGGGTGGCCGGGAGGTGGGGAGAGAGGGGCCCATGCTGCCAGGGGATGACCCAGGGGTGGAAACTCCTGCGCTCAGCCATTGAAAGTTCCCATTCTCCCCCGGTGTTCGGGTATCCCTGTGCCCTTTGCCTGGCCCTGTGGGGTCCTGGCCCCTCACTGCTTGCAGCTGGAGTGGGAGGCTCTGTCACTAGAGGGTGTGGGGTCGAGATGAGCCAGGTGGGTGCCACACATTCTCCACCTCCATTCCCGCCCCCTTCTCCGGAGGAACAGACCCAACAGCTTCAGGTGGCAGGAAGCCCTCTGGGGGAATGTCAGCGTGGCCCCTTACCCCAGGGTCCATGGACGCCAGTGCTCCTTGACCCACACGCCGCTCTGCCTCTGAGTCACCGCCTCTGAGTCGCCTGCTCCCTCCTCACTGAGCTGAGCAGTGGCAGCAGCTGCTGCAGGAACCAGGAAGGAAGGAGACAGCGGAGCCTCCCCTCCAGCCGGATCTCCCCACCTTCCCCCTCCCCCGCTCCTCCTCCCGCCAAGCTCCGGGCGGCCGCTCAGCTCTGCCCCCCTGCTCCCCGGAGGACTCAGGGCTGAGTGACTCCCCAGCGCTGAGGGGACCTGGGAGCAGGGACAGGGTCCCCACTGGGCACAGATCCAAAGGGATCACAGAGGACTGGGGAGCCGCTGGCTTAAAGCCAGTGGTGGTAAAGAGTTTTACTTAGACTAGTGTGGCCTTGACCCCGGTTAGTACCCAAGTTCATTTCCTTATTAACTCCTGCCTCTCGTTTTACATCTGAAAATAGATTGCAAAATTTGGAGCCAGCAAAGGTATCAGGTTGATGGGAAGGGATGGATGCCCCTTTAGGATGGTGCCAAGAGCACGGTCAGCAGGGCATTCAAGGCTCAAAAGGGCCAGCAGGTGGCCCCTACAGAGCTTGTCACCGGTCCCAGGGGTGGAGGGACTGAAAGCACCTATGCAGTGAGACAGACCCCGCCCGCGGGCTGTAGAAGAGCTGGCTGGAGCCAACTGTGCGCCCTCCCTTTCCGAGCACCTCTGCCCTTCTGCTGGAGAACTGTGTTCAGTTGCTCATTCTAATTAAAAATCAGCTCTTGAGAAAGGCCTAAAATTCATTGAAATGAGTGTGAAGCAGACAAACAGCTTTAAGTGCAGTGAAGCTTGTTTCTGGAAAGTAGGTTTATAATGGCAGGGCCTTAGGCCGCACCAGCAGGCAAAGGATGCAATGTGGGTTTCTTCTTTGATCCAGAAATGATTTAGGGCACCTCCCCCATCCATCTCAGGCCCTCATGGCCTTGGCTAACCCTTCAGGGTCTTACACATCTCTCAGCAGATGCCAGCTCCCGGCACCACTCGGAGCCTCGGCGCTGCTCCAGCCACCCCAGGGGAGTGCCGCCAGCACCCAGCGGTGCTGGGAGTCAGGGGCAGCGCTGGGCAGCACTGGCCGGGCAGGCTCCAGCGTCCAGGGGCCTCATGGGCCTTTTAATTCATTTTGCACCAATTGAGCGTCCCTGGGGGTCCGGCACAGAGCTGGGCACGGGGCAACTGGTGCTGGACCAAGCCACGGGAAAGCTGCTACAGGCCGCCTCTGCCAGGGTGTGCCTGTCCAGGACCTGGGAAGCGGGGGCACTGCTCCAAGTCCAGCAGGAACGCTCCACTGCCACTCCCCGCATCACCCTTGCACCCACCCCGCGCATGCTCCAAGGACAAGCGTGGGCTTCTGGCTGAACATCCTCTCTCCATCATTAGGAACTTCTGTTCTCCAAGACGTGGATGAGGCCTTCTAAGAGCTCCCCAAGCCCCTCATGTATACAGAATCCTGGTTTTCCCCCAGCTCCTTTGCTCAGAACCACCTGAGAAGTGTCAGCTACTGAGCAGAGCTGGCAGCTGCCTTCGAAAAGACAGCATGTGAGAGATCCCATTCGTGGGAGGGACAGGGAGGTAATAGACTTGGACATGGGAAGAGGAAGGATTTTCTAAGAAGGGAAGTGAGAGTCAGCGGTGACCCTGAAGATAAGTCTGTAGGGAGGATAAGCTTGTGAAGAGCAAAACAGACCAAGTAAAATGCATTTTTTAATCATAAAGCAGTGTTCCCAACTTTTCCACAACAAGGCACACCCACAGGGTGGAGAATTAACATCCCAGCCCAACTCGGACCTTAATGAAAAGGATCTAGGGCTGAAACCCAGAACATGGTCTTCAGGACAGAGAGCACCTGGTTCAAGTCCCTGTTCTGCCACTTACCGACTGCATGACCTTGGGGAGGCCCTTCAACTTCTCTGCCTGAGAAATAAAAGGACTAATACTCAGGCAGTGGTTGGCAGGCAGTAGGACAGGGCAGGCTCGCAACAGAAGCCATTCGTAGCGCAGTGACTCAGCTGAGCTTTGCTGACAGTGAGGGGACAGACTGGGGAGACTGCAAGACGGGGAACATGAGGCGGAGGGCACTGTCCTCGTCTGTTCAGGACAGGCTGGAGAACTAAGGCTTTGCTCTTGTCAAGTTGGACAAGAACAAATTCTGTGATTAAGTCTTCTTCTTCTTTTTTTTTTTTTTAAAGATTATTTATTTATTTTTAGAGAGAAGGGAAGGGAGGGAGAAAGAGAGGGAGAGAAACATCAGTGTGTGGTTGCCTCTCACAGGCCCCCAACGGGGGACCTGGCCTGCAACCCAGGTATGTGCCCCAGCTTGGAATCAAACTGGTAACCTCTTGGTTCACAGGCCAGCACTCAATCCGCTGAGCCGCACCAGCCAGGGCTAAGTCTCCATTCTGAAATGGAATCTTTCTTCATCTGAGGAGGTCGCTGTCAGCAGAAGTTGGGGAATACGTGCCAGTGCCCACCCCAAGTTCTTCCACATTTCCGGAAGGGCAGCACAGCCCACGGGGCTGTGTGTTCATGGGCAAGCTGGGCGCAGCAGGCCGGCTACGAGTCCAGGACAGGGCTGGCAGGGTGAGGCTGCCCGCTGGCCGGCATGACTGAGTCGCCCGCATGTTGTTGTCTGACGTGCTGATCCAGCAGGGCAGTCAGCTGGAGGGGCTGGTGCTGAAGCAAGGAGTGGGTCTGAGCCGTGAGGAGGGTGAGCCCTCCTACCAGCTCCCCCTGCACCAGGGCCAGGCTGGGGAGCTTGGAGTAGTTGATGAAGCCCTGCCTGCTGAGGATGATGTCATCAATGCAGCCACCTGGAAGAACACGGGGTCAGGTGGACGCCCCACAAATGCCTCTCTTCCCTATAAACAACATTCCAACCCTGGGAATCACACTTCGTTACCTTTCCCACCTCCCAGCCTTCCCCCTTCGGGTTCCCATTGTTCCCCACCCCAGTCCCATTCTGTTTGGGACTGATCCTCTTCCCCCTCCCTACTCTTCTCAAGAAAATTCTTACATATACAATCCACGTGGCCTGACCCCCACTAAGTCACTGTTTCTAAAATGTTCTTGAAGAACTACAGAGTGGGGGGGAGTGTTGGGGGGGATTATAAACAAAGATGCCTGCCCCTTCCCACAGAGACCTATTAATTCAGTATTCTGTATAGAAACAGCACCTCCTGGGATTCTTAGTCTCAGGGGGTTCTGGGAAACGTTGCTCCCTGTTCCTGAGCACCCTTTACTTGGGCCAATTGTTTTAAGTATCTTTGTCTATATGGATTTTAGCATCTCCTACCCCACTGCTAGACTCAAGGTGTCTGAACTTGCTCCCGTGGGAGTCCTCCCTGCCTTCCCTAACCTTCCCCCAGTGCACAGGTGATGCAGGGCAGGGAGCCAACACAGGCGTTAGAAGACACAGGCAGCCCTCTACACACTATGCTGTTGACTCAGGCCCCATCTGTGAGAGGATGTCCTCTCCAAGGATGTCCACAGTCTCACCCACTCATGCCCAGCAGACGGCACCAGGCTCCCTTCACCCCACCCCCAACAGGCCCGGGATCTTGCTCACCTAACAGCGGCAGGAAAGGCACGCCCTTCAAGATTCGCACCATCTCCTTGACTTTGGGCTCTTCGCTGACCAGCAGCATGTTGTGCCCCACAAAAAGGGGCAGCAGGTTTTGATACTTGGAATCCTCCAGGAAGGGTTTCAGGACCTGGAACAGCAGGAAAGAAGGACTGATTGGCGATGAGTGGCAGGGAGAGCCGCCCACCTTGGTCACAGGCCATATCAGGCTGAGGGGGAAACCAGAGGGTCTCCTCAGCCCCTAATCGTGGTTTAGGCACCAGACCAGAGCATTGCTGGTGGAGGGGAGGAGCCAGCAGTACCCTACCCAAGGACAGAGGCTGGCTCTCAGGGGGCAGGGGAGGGGGAACATAGGCAGGGCCCATGCATAGGGTGGCTCTCTACCTGGTTAGGGAAGACCTTCATCAAAATATTGTGTTTCCGCAGCCGGTGGCGCATAAGAAGCTTGTCCTCCGCACTCAGAGCCACGTTCTGGCAGACAGCTATCATTCGGTTGTCTCGGAAAACTGCTGCTACCTCCTGACGGAGGAGCCGGATGAGGCCTGTCTCCTGAAGGCAGGAAGGGGTGACCAAGGGGACATAAGCGGCTTCTCCCTCAGGGACGGGTGCTGGGCTTCCAGCGATGCCCGCATGTCGGGGGAGATCACGGGACAGGAGGAGAGTTGGGCCCTGGATTCTGAGGGACAGGTTCCATCTCCCGCTCTATCCTTTCGTTTTCATCAGGTAATCGCAGTGATTAGAGGGGTGTTTCTCAAACCCGAGAACACCGAGCCCCCTGAACTGGTCAGCGGTCTGACCCAGTCACCATTATTAGACAGTAAGTTTGTCAAAATTACTTCCATTATCCCTCTAATACTGTACTCATGTTGAATTACTTAACCCATTATAAATACAAGATAACTGTTGCAGTGTTAATTCAAAATAGAGGCATTTTCACAGAACAAGACCGTGTTTCACAAAGTTGAGAGCTTGTGAAACTGAAAATATATTCAGACCCCATAAACACTCTGTAAGAGATTTTTTTTTAACACAGCAATGATTCTAAAATTTATTTAAAGAGAATACCTAAAAGTCATGAAACTTTCTGCAGAATTCCATGAAAATATTAATACAAACAAGGTAAAATAATGGGAGATACACTACTGTGTTAAATCTAGACTCTCGATCTGCCCTGTCCAATAGAGTAGCCACTAGCCACATGCGGCTATTTATATTTAAATTAACTAAAATTAAATACAATGAAGAATTCAGAGCCTCAGACACACTGGCCTCGTTTCAGTGCTCAATAGTCATATATGGTGAGTAGCTCCCATATCGGACAGTCAGATGTAGAACATCATCCCAGGAAGTTCTGGTGCATGGCCCTATTCTAGATCCTTTTACAATTACAAGGCAGCAAGAACCACTGGCTTAAGAAAAAATTATGAGGGAAAAAACCTGAGTGGGAAAATTCCATTCAATGACTTTACTGTTGTCTGAATTGGGATCTATCAATCAGTTTTCCTAGCCATCAGTTTCGGCTGGACGAAAGCTAAAAATCCTCCAGAGAGTTCCAGGCACCGAAACACAATTTGCCCCGCACTCCACAACGCTCAGTTCAGACGGCTCTTTGCTTTCACAGGGAGGAAACCCAGATGGATGGGCTCCGTCCAGCCATTAGTCCTTGAGGAATCTCTGCCAAATGACTCAGATCACCTCTTGCATTAGTGTTTGACATCTGACCTTAAATGCCACATGCTACAGTTGCTGCTCACCCCTCACATCCCAGCCTCTAGCAGGAGAGTCTTTAAGCAGCAGTAGCCAACGAGAAGCTAGAAGCTATCAGATACCACAATAACAGGAATCACCACAGAGTCACAAATTCGCCACTGGTCTTTCTGTTCTTTTTAGAAACAGAAAACCTCTCTCATTGCTCTAGAAAACATGGAAATTTCAAGTCCTTCATGATGGAACAAAGATACTCTCCCCAACTCCAACCCCCCACCCCCCGCAACTTAGCTTCCACACACATATTTTTGGAGACAAGTTAAGAATAAAGAAATTTCAAGAGCCCATCCAAACCACAGAGCCCAAAAGGACAATGCTAAATCAAGTGCAGGGTTCATTTTAAAGTACCTGGACCAGCCCTGGCCAGGTAGCTCAGTTGGTTAGCGCATCATCCCCATATACCAAGGCTGCGGGCACAATCCCCAGTCAGGGCGCATATGAGAAACAACCCATGAATGCATAAGTAAGTGCAACAACAAACTGATGCTTCTCCCCCCACCCCTTCCTTTCTTAAAATCAATAAATAAAAATCATTAAAGTATCTGGGCCATGGGGTCAAAGTGAGTAACTAGTGATGTGGATGACTGTGTCCTGGAATCCTACTTCACTATGCCTGCGGCTATAAGGTCACTTTAATCAGCACACCGCCACCAGGTAACATGTTGAGTCTCTTTCTTACCTCTTGCAAAGGCCTGGGAGGAGGTGCCAGGCATCTAGGATTGACAGCAGGTTTTGGGGGGATATATTCAGTCACAGCCATCAGTTTCTGCCGCTCAAAGTGCATCACACGACGATGGCGGGTAACAGCCTTGGAGCCACAGCGAACAATCTGGAGGGTGGGTAGACGCCCTGGGAGCAGAAATAGCGATGCAGTGAGATGCAGCCTCTTGGAGGCCTTAGTCTGCCCCAGATGGAGAAAAAGCCCACCCTCTGGGCAGAGACAACCATGGCTCACAGAGGTAGACTCAGTGAAAGAGCAGGGTGAAGAACTTCCTAGAAATCCTGAATCCCCAAGCCTTCTCTTGTAACGGTTGGCCTTAGTTACTTGATTCTTTGAAACTCCCATTTCTCCAGCATTTCTTTATGCACAGAGATGAAGGAAAAAAGATAAAAACCAAAGAGAAAGTATTTTGAATACACTAAAAAAAGGCAGGGGAGGGAGAATACACTTCTTAAATGGCCGAATAGTAAAGATGTTAAGAGCCAAACAGTCTGTCACTACAACTCAACTCTGCCACTGTATCATGAAAGCAATCATAAATAATATATAACAAATAAATGTGGCTGAGTTCCAATACAGTTTTATTGATAAAACGCGGTGCCAAGTCCTGCCATAGTTTTCCAACCCCTTGTCTAAACCAGTGGTGCTCAAAGTGTGCCCCTGCCCCCAACTATCAGCAGTACCGAGGAACTTCTTAGAGATCCCAGTTCTTAGGCCCTGTCCTAGACCTGCCTACTTGGAAGCTCTGGAGTGGGGCCCCGCACTGTTGGAACAAGCTCTCCAGGCGGTCCCTATGCGTGCTGAAGTCTGAGACCACTGCTCTAAGCACTGCTCTGAAGCCTCCCATGACTTGAAGCGGGGAGGGGAGTTACACTACCCTTGGAGTTCCCCCAAACAAGTCTACCTTTCCTCCGCTCATCTTGTTTGCAGGCATCGCCTGGGGGTACCCCTCAGAAGACGAGGGAACTGCTCAAAAGCACTGAGCCAAAGTGACCCCTTCATCCTTAACAAAGGAATGAAGATGAGAGCTTCCCACTTTCAGCTTTTCCCATGACTGGGCTGGAACCTCAGGGACGGGTTCCGCTAGAAGGTGGCTCTAATGGTCAGAGAGCATGGAGAGCTCTTGGGGTGAGAGATTTTGCTGCCCAGGGGCCACAAAACCCAGCATAAGAGCACAGGCTCTGGATCAGATGGAACCAGATTTCAATCTTTCTTAGCTTTGACCTTGACCAGTCACTTGACTGGTCTAAACTTGAGTTCATCATCCATAAAGAGGAGATGAGAATGTTTTCTTCATCGGGTATTTTAAGATTTAAATAACACATGTAAAGCATTTACACTGTACCTGGCGTATATTGTGCGCTCAAAATCATTCATTAAGCAAATACCTAGTACATGCCCAATAATGTTAGGCATTATGAACATGGTTCTGCCCTTACGGAGTTTAAAGTCTAATAGACAAACAGATGCAAAATTATAGATTGTGATGGGCTAAGGGGTCGATAAACAGGGTGCAAGTTCCAAGTTAAACAGGGGAAACCAGCTTTGCAGATGGTGGCAAGAGCAGGCCTAAGTAGGTGACATTTAGGCTGAGACCTTAAGGAGACACAGTGCCAAGGTCGGGGCCGGTGCAGTCTAAGCAAGTAAACTGAAGGCAAGCAAAACCGTGATGGTGGATTACAGAAACCCAAAGAAGGCAGCGGGGCTGGGGCGTAGACAGTAAGTACTGTGGTTATGGTTGACGCTGCCGCTGTGTTGCGGTTATTCCTAGAGTCTGGAGTCACAGGACATTAGATTGGGGAAGGAGGCCAGCGATCTAGCTGTCGGGGTACGTCATCAGGAGCTGTCTGGAGTTAGAGACTATGGGAAAGACCAGTAGTAGAGGAGGGGAGACGAGGGTCAAAGAGCACCGGTCGTAACGCGCCGTGAGGACCTGGGCCGCCCCTTACCCTCCCGGGGCAGGATACCGCCTCGCAGAATCCCAGCCACGGCCACAGCCATTGCCATCGGCAGAACGGACGGGAGCCGAGCGAAACGGAAAGAGCTAAGGATTGTGGGAGACCTGAGGCCGGAAGCAGCGGTAGGATCCGCGAACTGGAGCAGTAATCCGCATGCGCCGCCAGTCCGCCCTCTCCCGACGCCCCACCGGGCGTTGGTCTCCTAGCAACGATGCTAAACCGCTGAACCGCTCTCGGCGTCCGCGTGCATCTCTTTCCCCCAGTTTGCGGCCAGCAAACCCCTCTACCACCCTTAAACTCCAGACCCTCCTCTTCGATATGCTTTGGTCTTTTACCCTACCTCAATAACTTGCTCTGAATCAACTCCTTTCCCTTGTCCCTCAAGTCCCTGAGCTTCTCTTCACACCATTCTGGTCCCTCCGTTCCCAGGAGCCGTCCAAGCTGCTCAGCTCGGCGTTCCGATCCCACTCCAGGCCAGCAGACTTTACATCATGCCTGGAGGTGAGTAGGGAGATGGGATGGTAGGTAGGACAGTTGAATAACAGTAGGTTCGGACCTGTAGTAATTGAACCCATCTTTTCACAGCTAATCTTGCCCAAAGTCCAGAGGAAGGGGACGTGTGCATTACTGAAGCTCTTATCACTAAGCGGAACTTGACCTTCCCTGAGGATGAGGATCTGTCAGAAAAGATGTAAGTGCACGGGAGAGATAAGGGTGCTGGAAGATTGAAACACCCGGGATGACCAGTCCCCTGAGCTCTACTGATTTGTCAAATAACCTTTGACCCTCTTACTCCACACATTCGATCAGTGGTAATGTCCAGTTGATTTTCTCTCCTTAAAAATCATTCTATTTCTTTTCCACCGCGCCCACTCCACGGCCCTAGATAAAGCTGTCATCACCTCTCAACAAACTCCTAATTAGCCTCCCTGACCCCAGTGCAGGCTCCCCGCACTGTTTCCAAAGTGATCCCTTTAAATGACAAATCTTTTTAGGCACTCCCAGATACAACCTTCCAAAATAAAATCTAAACAGCTTAGCACGAGCTGACCTCTGCTGCCCTTTCAGCCTTATTTCTTGCCACTCTCCACAAGTATGCAGTTCCTCTCAAGTCCCCATGTTCTTGCACCTGAGAACCTTACTACTTGGAGTGGTTAGTGCTGGTGGGGGTGGGGGGCAGCAGCAGCAGCACTGGGGAGCTTGTTAGAAATGAAGAAACTCAGGCCCACTGGATCAGAATCTGTATTTTAACAAGACCCCCAAGGGATCCATGGGTACATTAAAGTTTGAGAAAGGCTGAATAAGTGCATACTGTCCCTTCTGTTTGAAATATTTTCTCCTCGTACCCCTCTCACCTTCCTGGATAAACTCATACTCATATGTCACTTCCTCCAGGAAGCATTTCCTCATTTCCCTGCTCTGGATTCAGTGTACAGCCCATGTGCTCCCTCAGCCCCTTGTACTTGGCCCTGTCATCCATTTGTCATAGATGTTTGGCCTACTTCCCTAATAGCGATGGATGAGGGCTGCCTCATGTATCTCTAGTGGGCACTCGATGTTTTATGGAATTAACAAATGGGTGGATGGAACAAGTGGTTTTTCCTCCATGGACCTCTCAAAAGGGAGGTGAGGAAGGATTGTTCTGCAGAGATTGTCTCATCTCTGTCCCAGTTCTTGCCGCCACCATCCAAGTTGACTTGAAGAAGCCTTCCTTTGCCTCTGAAACTCTCCAGTAACTCTAAGCTGCTGTCCCAGCTAAAGGGCCTTACTCCTCTCTCACTCTGATCCTTCCCAGTGTTATTGACAGAGATCCGGGTCTCCAAGTCAACCCAGTTTCATGATCTGGACACCACCTCATGAACCAAGAAGGTGTTCCTGATACCTGATCAAAGTCAATCAGCCATCCACTCCTCCTTAAAACCTTTCCTCCCACCTTCCCAGCTTTCCCGCTAAGAGACCACAGAAGTGGCACTCTGTTACACCATCCTACTGACCGTTCTCCCAGGTTTCACACCATTGCTGAACTACAGACTGTCCGTCTGGACCGGGAGGGAATTACCACGATCGCGAATCTAGAGGGCCTCCGGAATCTTCACAGCCTCTATCTACAAGCGGTACCTTCTTGTCCCCTTTCCTTCCTCCCCACTTGCTCCCTGTGGGCCAAGTCTGTCTAATCTGAAAGGAGCCAGCCAGACCCTCTTGTCTGTTCCCTGATATTCAGGCAGGCAGACCTTCATTGAAACCATTCCTCGGTGAACCAGGAATTCCCCTGAATTGAAAGACCAACCCTCCCAAAACAGATCCTAAGCATGTTCTTGAATCACTGTTTTTGTTTTTGTTTTTGTCAGACACTTCTCTTTGTCTGGTTCTTCTTGGTGTATACCCCGAACCTCTCATGTTATGTAGCTCAAGGTTTTCTCCTGTCTTAAAAAGAGGAAGAGGGAACCGAGAAGATTCCTCTGTGTCCTTCAGGACCTTGAAGGCTGTCAGTGGTGGTGGGTGGTTGGTTGACCTTCAGCCTCCCCCAGATTGACTTACCAGCTCCCTGAACTATGCCCCGCTGACACTTCACAAATCAAAGTAAGATGTGTTCATGGTTCCCCCCAAGTATGCAAGCCCCCTGAAGTGCCTTGGTGTGCTTCTCGGGCTTCCAGGCCACTCTTTGGTTGTGGGGTGAGCAGGGTATACTTTAATCAAGTTGAGCTGGCCCCAAGTCTACACCCTTAACCATCCACTTGGAGAAAGCACATCGTCCCAAGGTTGTGACAAACAGTTCAGTGACTGAGGTCATCATTCTCAAGTGCCAGATCTCCAGCTGCAAGAGTAGACATGGTCTTGGGACTTTGTCCTTTTAAAGGGCCACCCACCCAGCTGACCTCAGGCTGGTTTCCCACCTTGGTTTCTTCCTGCAGAATAAGATCCAGCGGATTGAGAACCTGGCCTGCGTCCCCTCCTTGCGGTATGTGGTGCCAGGGCTCAGGCAGGGGTGGGGAGGGGAGAAAAGGGGATGGTGAAGCGGGGAGAAACCTGGTAACACCCCAAAGAACTGGTTGAAACCTCTCCAAGCCTGGCTTCTTTTCAGCTGGGGATCCAGCAAGCCTCGCTCTGCTTCCCTCACCCCAGAAGACCACGTGCCCCCACTTGTCATCCGCCTGCTTAGCCAGGGGCCCGAGTGCCTGATGCCCTCTTCCCTTCCTGCAGCTGTTCTGATTCAGCTCTCTCTCTATACTCCTCCCTTCCCCTACAGCTTCCTGTCTCTGGCAGGAAACCAAATCAGGCAGGTGGAAAACCTCCGTGACCTCCCACACCTCCAGTTTCTGGACCTTTCTGAGAACCTGATAGAAAAACTGAAGCTGGGTATGAACACCCTCACCCTGGCTCATAGAATACGTCCCCTGCGGGGCCCTCCTGCCTCTCTGCCCCCGTTTCCCTGTGCCAGCATTAACGGCACATGCTCCAGGGGACCTGGGGGCTGTGCAGGGAGGCAGTGGCTTTGGGCTGGAAGGTGGGTATGAGAACCTCATTCCCCTACTTTGGTACGAGCAGATGAATTCCCCCAGAGCCTTCTCATCCTTAACCTGACTGGGAACAGTTGCACCAACCAGGAAGGCTACAGGTGAGGAGGAACTGAAGGCGGGAAGAGAGGGGTGAGGGCTGGGCTCCTCCTCCTAACTCTACGGCGTTCCCTCTCGGCCTGCAAACCTGGAGTCCCAGCCCATGGTCCCTTCTCCCCCAACCTGGCTCAGGTGGCCCCTTTTCCCTTTCATCTCCCATAACTCCACATGGAGCCAGCCCTTAGCTCTGCGGGGACTTCCCACTCATGAGCCACCACCCCGCCTGGGGTGGGTGCTGTTCTCGCGTGCGCAGCCTCCCAGGCCCCACACCCGGGGGTGCGCTCCAGCATGGCCTCTGCTTTCCGCCCTGCAGGCAGCTGGTGTTAGGAGCCCTGCCGCTGCTCCTGGACCTGGACAGGCAGCCTGTGGTGGAGCGCTGGAACTCAGATGAGGAGGACAGAGCCTCGGATGACGAGTTCCCGGAGCTTAACGGCCCGTTCTGCTCAGAGCGAGGTGACGCTGCTTCCCAAGGTTTGCGGCCTCCCCAGAGCTCACCCCTGCCCTGTGGAGTCCGGGGGAAGCTAAGGTGTCAGTGATGTCTGGGGAAGTAGCCCCAAGCCCAGGTCAGCATCTGGGCCACGAGTCAGCCTGGGCACACAGGTGACTCACCCTCCCCACCCCAGCCTGAGGCTCCTCCCTGTTACGGATGGCAGTTTGCTCAGGTCAGCCAGAGACCTTCACCCGCAGCCCAGGGGCCCTCCTGCCGAGCCCGGGCTCCACCCACCACCCACCACCCCGGCCCTCACAGGCTTCCTCGAGGAGCTGGAGCAGGACAGGATCAGGCACAAGGATCGCAGACAGCAGGCGGCCCTGGCAGAGCACCTTCTGAGGATGGAGACACAGCCCGTCCTCACTGAGCTCCCCACCCTGCCTGGGAGGTCCGTAGCTGGGGACAGCAGCCCTTCTGTCACTCCCAGGCAGGGGGAGGAGACACCCCACGAGTCCACGTCCTTGCCACAAGCTTCCTCTGCCACCAAGAAACTATGCCCTCTGGTCTCCAGGGGCCCCCAAAGCACTACCCAGGGGAAGAAGGGGGTCAGGGCAGTGGCAGCTTCCAAGGCCTCCCTGTCTGCGGCCCCCAGCACAACAACAACTATGACCAGAGGACCCAGGAAGTGAAGTGCAGGCCACCCCTGTCAGTGGTGCCACAGGAAGGAGGGCTGGGCGGAAACCAGGGCAGGGTTGGTCTCCCGCCCCGCCTCCGATCACCCCCCCTCATCAGAGCCCTCCCCTGTGGCAGGAGCCTCTCCCAATAAAGCGTCTCCAGGCCCTGAATGTGTCTTTCGTGCCGCTGGGAGCATCTCAAGGGAAGCAATCAGTAAAACATATAAGAAACAAAACACGTTTATTAAGGCAAGGCCAGGCCAGCACTCAGAACGAGGAGTGTAAAGGAATCGCTCTGATTGCACGACCCCCACAGGGGTCCGGCGCCCACCCCCAGCACCTGAACCGCGCGCCAGGCTGGGAGGAGCTGCGCAGCTCAGGCGTACGCCTGGCTCTCCCTCTCCACGAAGGCCTGGAAGAGGCCACCCAGCTTCTGGGGGTGTGGGGTCTGTTCCCCGGCCAGCAGCCCCCTCGCAGCCTCCAGGCCTTCCTGCTCCAGATCCCGCTGCTTCTGCCGCAGCTGCTGCCCCCGACCCTGCCCAGAAAAGGCAGAGATGAGTCCCCGGGGCAGGCTTCCCTCCCAATTACGGGAACGTGTCCGCAATTTTGCACCGCAGGACAAAGGACAGACAGCCCGACATTCTCCTGGGCAGCTGGCTCTGAAGGGAGAGACCCCTCTCCTCAGCCCCGCAGTCTCTCCACTCCCAGGTCCCCTCATATTTCCAGAACCCAGCTGAGCATGGGGGAGACGAGTCATTCCCCAAGGGTGGCCCCTATGGTCTGGGGGTTACCTGCTCACTCTCCATCAGCCCCAGGGCCTTCTGGTGTCCACGGTAAAGAGCGTGCCGGCGGTCCACCTGAGTCTGGAATCGGGGCACGGTCCGAACAGGGTCCTGTGCTCCAAAAGTGGGGGACAACACCTGGGGGGCCTGAGCCACCCCTGCCCCAAAGACGAAAGGTTTGAACACTGACCTGAGAGGACAAAGATGGAAGGATCGAGGACTATCACATCTCTCCATTCCGTCTGCCCAACACTCACTCCATATCCTTCCCCAGCCTCTCCTCTCACCTGGATGGGTCTGGCGTGGCAGTGAGGAAGTGGACGCAGGGCCGTGTGGGATCCTGAGGCAGGACGGACACCATGCTGGCCGTGGTGCGGAAGCCTCCCGAGTCCATGCAGATGCCACTCTCCTTGTTCCTGAGAATGTCCATCATCACTTCTGCCGTGATGGCCCCTGCCAAGTAGAACAGCGTAAGGGACCCCCAGGGCAGAAGGGGGACGTCTGGTCTCAGACCAAGGCCCCCCTCCAAAAGCTATGGGAGGGGAGAGGCTGGCAGCCCTGTGCCCGCCTGGCCTATCCCCCGTTCGCTCCCTGACCTTGCTGTGGCTGCAGCAGTTCCCGCCCGGCCCGGAAGCGAGCCTTGGCGGCTTCCATGCGCACCGGCTGCTGGGTCAGGGAGAAGATCTGCGCGAAGTCAAAGCTGCCCTGGCCACCCCACCAGCCCTGCGCCTGGGCATGCGTCCGAAGCTCTGCGTGTTCGGCTGAGATGTCTGTGCCAATGCTCAGCTGGTTGGAGATGTTGCGGGCTCCCTCTGTGGAGGAGAGAGGGGATTGCTCATTCATCATTAAGCACCTACTGTGTGCCAGGTGCTTGGCTAGGTGCTGAGAACACAATGGTGAGAACAGACCTATCCTCATGGAGAGGGAGACAGACAAAACAATCACAGGAATACATGTGAGCTTGCCAGCTGTGCTGAGTGTGACGAAGCGCCACCTGCTTGCATATAAGGGGGACCCCTGACCAGCAGGGAGTCCAGGAAGGCTCCTCACAGGAAGCGGCAGGCTGAAGCACAAGGGGACTTAACCAAGTGAAGTGGGGAGGATAAGTTCCGCAGTGGCTTCATTTTCCACTTCTCTGGAGGGCGCCACCACCTGAGAGGTCGGCACCTGTTTGGCCCTTCCCTGCCACCATCTCTCCCACCCTCTCCCAAGGCTGGCAAAAGACGAGGCAGGCCCCAGCACTGGGCCACTCACCCCGGATCCTCTGTGCAGCCCACAGCCTCCCTGCCGTCTCCAGCACCCACGCCTCAGTCCGGTCAGCCAGCAGGAAGGTGTTGTGGTAGGAGAACGGCGTGGGGTCCTCCCGGCAGCTGCCCCCCTGCCCGTAGCGCTCCAGCAAGCCTGTGATCACATGCAAGGCCTCCTGGGCTGAGCTGCTCCGTTCTAAAGCCAGCCTGGCACAAAAAGATCCAGGGGACAGAAGGGTGGTAGGGTATCAGTGGCTGGTGGCAGAAGCTCCAGGGAGATTTGGTGTCAGGCCCGAGTCCCATAGAAAAGTCTGCCAACATTGCACAAGTACGCCAGTGGTTTCCACGCTGTCTCGGAGGGTTCCAGGGAAAGGCCTGAGACAGTCTCAGAGCACAAAGTGCCCCAAGCCCCTCAACCTCTTTATTCAGAGCTCAGAGCTGCTCCACTTTATTGGTTTTATAAATCGGGACTCTAGGTGATATTTCATTTGAAAAATATTGTACCTCTATAGAAAAGAAATTTAAGCACTGGCTGGTGTGGCTCAGTGGATTGAGAGCTGGCCTGCAAACCAAAAGGTGGCCGGTTCAATTCCAGGTCAGGGCACATGCTGGGTTGCGGGCCAGATCCCCAGTAGGGGGTGTGCAAGAGGCAACAGATCGATGTTTCTCTCTCTCCCTCCCTTCCCTTCTCTTGGAAAATAAACAAAATCTTTTTTAAAAAAGAAAAAGAAAAGAAACTTAAAACCACTGCCCTATTTCTGGCCCAGGAGAGACCCAGAGGTGGCCATATTTAAAAGCTTCTCACCAGACTGTGGAGGTGAGCCCAGGGGAGAGGAGGGTCAGAGGCAGCCTCCTGGCGATGACACCAAGGCGAGGCGGCCATGAAGGAGGAGGCCCTCGTGAACCAGGCTTGGGGGAGGGGTACAGGCTTGGGCCAGTACTCAGTCCCCAGGCGTCGAGTGTGTTGAGGGGAGGAGGGAAGGCAGGGGCCGCACCTGAGTAGGTCCATGCCCAGCAGGGCTTCCCCCTCCCCAACTGGCTCCTTGGTCCACACGGCTTCGTTGCCAATGCAGACACCATGCTCGTTGGCACCCATCTCAGCCCCCCACATCCAAGAAGGGCGGCTTAGGATCACAGCATGGGTCTTCGCCACCTGTTCCACCTCAATGTAGGTGCACTACAGGTAAAGGAGGAGAGAGGGAGAGTCAGCTCGAAAAGGAGGAGGTACCTAAAGGTGCTGGGACTGTGCCAGTCACCTTACACAGCCCTTGGAGGAAGGTCTTATCGTTTCCATTTTACAGATGAGGTAACTGAGGATGACAGAGGTTTAAATGTAAGCTAAGTCCACGTGATAGACTCGAAGCTCCTGTTCTTTCCATACCTGGAGGCTTCCCAGGTGTGGGGAGCAGAGAGGAGAAACGTCTTAGAAGAGTGATTTTCAACCTTTTTCATCTCATGGCACACATAAACTAATTACGAAAATTCTGCAGCACGCCAAAAATATATGTTTTGCCGATCAGACAAAAAAAAAAAAAGTATAATTTTGATTCATTCACACCAGATGACTAACATTGTGTTGACTGTTGTCATTTTTTATTTGACAATCTAAGGGACAGGTCAGTGCCCCTCACTAAATAGTCAAGTATTGAGTGTTTTAAAAATTCTTGCCCACACCAGTGTGCCGCGCACACGGGTTGGAAATCACTGTCTTAGAAGAATGCCTGCCTCTGCCACCACCCACCATATGGCCTAACCCACCTGGAGCCTGCTGCCAGGGGCATGGGTGCCTCCTGGTACAAACACCACCTCCTGCACCTCGTCCCGGGGTCGATCTGAATTCTTGGCAAAGATCACAGCGGGGATGGCGGAGGCCGGGGGCACCGAGACAAAGCAGTCACAGGAACACGGGGTGTCAGGGCTCCACGATGCCATCTGGGGAGGAATGAGGATGCGTGTGTCCCTCATGCCCCCTCTCAGCCATCCTGGCCAGGAAACAGTCCTGGGGAGCCCCTCTCCCAGCACGTGAAAAGTGACACTCAGGGCAGGCGCTGCAGTCGGGTTCCGGACGCTCAGCACCCCAGGCACACTCGACACTCGACACGCGATGTGGCAACGGAGGCAACCACTTCCTCTCCAAGTTCCGGGCTTAGGCATCAGCAGGCCAGCGCAGACCGTGCTCCAACGCCCTGCCCCGCTGAGAGTTGTGACCCAAAGGCCCTGTTACCTCGCCTCTCTCCATGAGAGCCCCATCCCCCCCGCTTCTCTCCACCCCGCCTGGCTTCCCAATCATGTATGCTCCTCACCCTCTCTCTGTGTAAGATCCCCAGCTTAGTTCCGGACGCCAGTGCCTCCATTTAGGGTCAGCTCTCTCCCGTTGGACCGAGGTTCCCAGGTGACCTGGAGGAAGGCCTTTGTCCCCGGGGCGGAGCCAGAACTGAGCACCTGCAGCTCCACTCTCTTCCACCAGAGTGCGCGCCAGCACCATTTTTTGGGAGAGGAGGGCCGGACCTTCCTAGTCTTGCTTGGCTGCCTTCCCTTACCCCGGCACACCTTTCAGGCCCGAAAACGTTGCGGATCAGCACGCAACTCCAATACGGTTACTGTGGGGAATAGGACCTAAGGGTGGGAAGGATACGCGTGAAAAGGGAAGGAATAAAAATTGGGCTGAGTTACTAGAGAGCTCGGATTGTTGGGGCATCTGGAGATTAAGAAAGAACCTCAGCTCCCTCTGCCCTGGTTTGAATTCCAAAGGCCACAGTCCCAGACTGGTGCGCCACCAATCTCTCCAATAAGATCTATAAGGGTGGTCAGTGGTCAGGCCAAAAGGTGTAAGGAGCACTTAAGTTAATGTCTTTTTAGAAGGGAACATATGCATAAATCCCATCCAATCCCAAAAGGCCGATTCTGCCCCACAGAGTACAAACTCATGGGAAGACAGCTTTTAAAGAAAATTTGGGGATGTCTATTCCAAAGACATGGTGATTTTATAAATAGCGAAGCTAAAACATTACAGGAGAAGTCTTGGCCAAACAAGGGCACATATCGGTGCAAGGGTGGACTCTGGTCTCAAATACTCTCCTTTCTGGGTCCTCTTCCTCTGTAAACCATCTCCGTAATTTGCATTTCATCCAGTGCATCTCGCACCATTTTGCTCTGTGCAGCCCTCCGGATTTTGGGGATACACTGCAGATTATCTGTTTCTCCCACACCCATCAGCCAGCCCATCGGGGCTGCTGCTCAGAGCCCTGGCCACAGCATCGGAGCTTGCGGTCACTCCTGGGATGGGAACGGAGGCAGAGGCTGGGGCTTTCCCAAGAGGCAGGCTGCAGGAAAATGTGCTGGGTGGTGGCTGGAGGAAACCTGCCCAATAAGGCTGTTGAGGGTCTGAAATCTGAGGTCTTTCCTAAATGCCCCCAGGTATACAAAGCTGAGTCCCAAGAGGTTGCCGTCTCCAGGGAAATGGGCTTTACTTTCAGAAAGGGGGCTGCCACTTGCAGAGAATGACCTCGAAGCTGGGCTGGAGGTAGGGAGGAGCATTACCTGGAACTCTATGGACTGGCATCTCATCTTGCTTCTGTGGGACCTCCTCAGGCGGGTCACTTTCCCTGCGAGGGCCCCAGTTTTCCTGGTGGCAAAATGAAGGTATTGAACTAGATCAGTGGTTCTCAGCCACAGGTGGGGTGAGGAAAGGTTATTTTTCAACCACACGACTCCCACCACACAACACACTACTTTGATACTCTGCCGTCAGTGTGGGGGCCGCCTGCCAACACCAGTGTCACCTGAAGGCTTGTGAAAATTGCAGACTCTTGGGCCCCACCGCAGACCTCCTGAATCAGAGGCTGAGTTAACGAGACATCAGGTGTAAAGTTTGAGAAGTGCTTCTGCAGTACAGCCCCAAGGGACATACCTGGGTGAGGCGGTGGGGAGAGAATCGATCGGTATATCTTGGAAATTGCATGGGTGATTCTAATATCCCATCTATCGGGTGGGAACAACAGGACTGTTTGGTTCTCGAGATTCCTTTCAAACCTAGGCTGCTAGGATGCTGAGCAGTCAGGATCACTGGGACTAACGTGGACGCGAGGGCTGCGTCGGGTGTGACGTCGGGGAGGGGTTGTGAGGTTGCCGTTGCACGGCCTTCCAGAAACAAACTTCAAGGCTGTGGGCTAATAGCACCGAAGCGGCCAGCAGGAAAGCCGGTTCACCTCCTGCACTTCCCCAGCAGCCCTCTGGGGGGCAGGAACAGGCAAGAGGAGAGGCGTGGGTCGCCTGCCGCACAGCCCTAGGCGGCGGTTCGCAGGCTGCCTGCTCCTCTGCCACTTTCCCATTCCTGATTTCACTCACCCACCTTAGAATTCTACTCCCACTTCCCAGGAAAGGAGATGGCGGCTCAGAGGAGCAGGCAGCCCAGGAGGTCAGTCCAGACGTCCTGATTTCCCTCCCAGCCCTCCTAGGATCGTCCCGCCAAGGGCTCCAGATCTGAGGGGTCAGAGGTGGCCTTGGGCTCCATCAGGGGGGCCAGGCCAGCCGGGCAGCATTGCTGTCAAGGCAAACGAGCCGAGTGAGCGTCAGAGCCCCACCAAAGGCCCCCGCTAAGAATGCAGGTCAGCGGGAGGAGCTGCGAGGGGGGAGGGGCAGCCCCAGCCCTGCCCAGACAGGCCCAGCCAGCCCCGCAGCTGCCCTCCTGTCCCTGGGGGCAGCGATGGGGAAAGGGAGGCGAGGACTCACTGGGCTCCTGGGGTCTAACTCCCCCAGAACCAGGAAGACAAAAGAGGTGCCCCCAAGGACTGGAGTGGGCGTGAGGTCATGGGAAAGAAAGCACCCTGTCCCTTCTCCTCCCAGACTTCTAGATGCAGAAGCAGACAGAAACCAACATTTGGCCCTCCAGACCAGTCTGGTTTCCTCTACGACCCCTAAATCATTCTGATGCCCCATCCCAAGCTGGACTTCGTGAGCCCAGACTCTCCCAAACACATGATGGATGGGCCATCTTGGAGTACCAGACCTGGCTCTGAGAAATTGGATTAGGATTTGAGCAGGGGCCTTAGAAATCCCACTAAAGGAACAATAATAATTTTTTTAAAAAATGTAGGATTGGAAGGTGAAAAAATACAGTGATGTATTCTGCCCCCTTGGAGCCCAAAACTGATCCTTCGTCCACCTTCCTGGCTTTGGGGCTCTGAAGTTGAGGGTTTTCATTCATTTGACATGAATTAGGCACCAGCTGCATACCAGGCACTGGGCAGCCTGGGAAAGTGTGCACAGATGGGCATTCCTGCATATCCGAGGGTGCCCCATGGGTCCAGTGAGGGCGCATTCGTGCACAGTGCTGTTGTGTAACTGTGGCGGGTCTCTATCTGGGAGTTGCAGTAGGAGCCTTTCCCTCATACTTTCCAGCTGGGCGGGAGCCCATCAGATATCTTGGCTGCCTTTCATCGCCTTGTTCCTGATAGAGATCATCCTGGGTGAAGAAATCGCTGTCAGTCACCCCCACCTCGCTCACAGCCTGAGGAACCGATTGATACACACACACACCCCCATGGGGGCGGGGCGAGAGTGCCTAGAAACTGGCCATCTCTGGGAAGGCAGGGAACAAGCGTTCTTGGCAGGGGACGGGGAAGAGGGGCTTGCCTGTGAAGGAGGAAGGAAATATCTAGAACTTCCTCGTCTGCACAGGTTAAGAGCAGGGAGGGCGAGGCAGCAGAGTTATCAACCCAGAGGGAGCTCCTCCCTCCCTCTGTACCCGCCACCTCCTGGATAGGATCGGACCCTTCAATCAGAGCTCAGCTCTGCCCCAAACAAAGGGAGAGGCTGCCCAGGGCTGCAGATCAAAGGGAAGTGTCCACCCCACCCTGCAGTGGCCTGGGGCCTGGTCCTCACCGCTGAGGGCCACCGAGTCAAAAAGGAAACCCGAGCTGGAAGACAAATGAAGCAACGATGTGGTTGATGACTTTATTATGGCATAAAAAACACAGGCTGTTTCTTTCTCCCCTTCCCCCCCAACAAAGTGGGTTCACAGCAGTTAAAGAAAAAAAAAATTCCTACATTTCTCCTCTAGGGGGCTGCCTAGAAGGGGGCAGACAGCCAAGCAACCTAGATCTATAAAAGAGGGGAACGGAAGAAAACCTAACCGAAGCCCTCACCCCACACCTTAGAACTGGGGGCCTCCAGAGGGGGCACGTCCATGTCCCCACCACCACCAACACCCACTGGGGAGTTTCCATTAGAATGGTCACTGGGAAAAACTGTCCTGGTGGCACAGGGAGGGGGTGGCTGGTTTCGATGGGTGGAGGAGAAAGGCATCTCACACCCACGGTGCCTTCCCTCTCTCCCCCTCTCTCCACCTGGTCAGGCAACCTGCAGGCACTGCCAACTCTCTCCTGCCCCCAAACCTCTCAGCAAGAAAAGGTACCTCTGGCTGGGCTAGCAGGAGGTAGGGATAAGAGGGAGCCTAAAGAAAGAACATCACTTCTTAAACTACCCAGGCCCATGGATCTCTCAGGGAGAGTTACCCTATCCCTTTTAAGGACTCCCTTCTACACAAACACATATTCCCACCCAGATCCCAGCCTCATTTTCCATTGAGCTCACAGTCCTTGGACTGGGCTCCAGCATCCCCAAGGGAGGAAGAGACACTGTAGGCCTAGACCCCAGGACCCTGGATGGGGTGAACAAGATAGGGTCTCCCTGGCTGGAGACCCCAGGCTCAGTAGAGAAACACACACACACACACACACACACACAACATGCACAGACACATGCCCTAATATTAAATAAAATACCCTCTGCTTATAACTTAAAAATCAATACACAACTAATCCTCAAATAAGGCTCTGCATGGAAAGACGGCCAGGGAAAGGGGAGGTGGGGGAACCTCATGGCCTCTACCTCAAGCCTGGGAAAGCCCCCTAGCTCCAACCCTTCCCTCAGCAGCCCCCTTCCCCTTGCCGGGCTCAGCCTCAGCTCGACTTCTCCCCTGCCCCCTTCCCTGCTCCAGGATCACAATCAGGATGTAGTCCAAGCATCTAGCGGGGAATAGGGGCAGCTTCTCGGACATCGCCTCAGGAGGCAGACCCCTTCCAGTGGGAGAGCCACTCCTTCATACGGAAGGTGGGGGGCCTCTTAACATGCGCTCCACAGGACCGGCAAAGCTCGCAGGGGCAGGGAAAAGGGGGGGCGAGCCGGAGAGGGCCAGGCCGACACAGAGGCCACTGAGTGGGAACTGCTGGACGGTTCTCCACTGGGGCACCCACACCTGCTTCCCGAAAGCCGAGGTAACCCCATAGGGAAGGCAAATAAATGATAGGGAGGCTAGGATGAAGAACTACGCTAATTCTAGACTGGGGTTGTCTGCCTGCCTTCAAAGCTTGCATGGGGTGGCGGTGGGGGTAACAGATGGGGAATGTGGACTACTGAACTCTATTTTTTATAAAGATCAAGAGTTAAGGACTGAATCCGAGTGTGAGACAGAACGGGTTCGTTCCTTCCATTCCCCCATCAAGTTGCTTTCTCTCATTTTAGAAGGGGACTCCTTTGCTCACCCCCCACCTCTAGTCTCGGATTCTGGCCCTCTTCCCCGCTTCCTTCATGGCTCCATCAGACTGGGTCTGGAAGGGTTAGTTAACAAGGAGGAGCTTCAAAGGAGTTATTTCTACAGCAACAATCCTCCCAGCCTGACAGAGACCCCTCCCCAAAGGGGACCCCCTCCAGCCTCCACTACCCCATCTCAGCTCTCCCTCCGGAAACCCTAGGGGAAGAAGCACTGTGAAGGGGATGAAAGAGACCGGAGCCGCTGGGCGGTTCCGGAGGCGCTTTTATGTCCCGGTTCCCAGGCGCTAAGGACGCGTCCAGACAGCTACCCACAGCGCCCGGGCCGCCCCACTCCTCTCTGCTCCCGGGACGCAGGTCCTCTCCAGCGGATCCCTTCCGCCCTCCAGCCGCGGTAGGGATACCTCGTCCCATCCCCCCAACTCGGGGATGTGAGTGAAACAGGGAGGAAACAGAACAGAGGGGCTTGCGCAGCTCCCCCGGCCCAGCCAGTCAAACGCGTTCAGTCCAGCCCCAGAGACTAAAACACCCCTAAGCCCCCTCTCCCTGACCCCACACCACCTTTCCTCCTTCTCAATAAATAACCACCTTCTCCTCTTACTCAAGCCGCCCACCAAGGACATCAGGCCAGGGGGCTGTCTTGGGATGTCCCCAGGGTAGCCAGCGGGGAGGCGGTACTGAAGAGCTCAGTTGGAGGGAGCTGCGCTGCTGCCCTCCGCCTCCCGCTTGCCTTTGCCCCCGGGGGGCTCCACTGCTCCTCCGGCCTTGCCCTCGCCGGTGGCGGCCCCGGCAGCCTCCTCCTTGGCGCCCTCGTGGGTTTTCATGTGTTTGGCCAGGTGGTCACTGCGCATGAAGACCCGGCTGCAGACCGCACAGGGGAACTTCTTGGTGCCGGTGTGGGTCTGGAGGTGGCGCTGCAGCTCGTCGGAGCGCGTGAAGCGCTTGCCGCAGAAAAGCCAGTTGCACACGAAGGGACGGTCGCCGCTGTGCCAACGCAGGTGCGCCTTGAGGTGCGACGTCTTGGCGTAGGCTTTCCCGCAGCCCGGGATGTGACAATTGTGCAAATGCTTCTTCTTGCCCCCATCGGGCCCGCACGGAGCCCCCAGTCGCTCCGCCTCCAGGCAGTTGGGGCAGCGGCACACGGTCTGACCTGAGCTGCGGGGCACTGACCGCCGGGAGCCTTTGGGCCGGGCCGCGCCGTCCAGACTGGAATCCAGCCCCTGCGTCTCCGGAGCAGCAGCTTCCAAGGCCTTTGCCCCGTCGGGAGGCCCCAGGAGGTGCTGCCCTCCGGCTGCTGGGAGGAGGTGGTGCGGGTGTGGGTGGGATGGTGGGGCACAAAGCTGGTGGTCTCCAACGTAGCCCCCTAAGCCGGCCTGAAGCGCCCCCGGGTGGCCAGGTGAGGTCAGCGCGCCCTGAGTGTGGGGGAGGTCCATCCAGCTGGTGCCCGGATGAAGGTCCCACCACGAGCCATCCTCAGTGCCCGGGTGAGTCGGCCGGAACCACGATTCGTAATGGTGTGACATGTCCGGCTGCAGGAGCTTGGAAAAGGGTCCCGGGGCCAAGGGATTGTCGCTTTCCAGGTCCTCGCAGGTTACTCGAGAGGAGGCTCCTGGCAGCTCATAGCCCTGTGAGAAGTCCACCTCGGGGCCCAACTGGAGGCTCTGCAGCTCTCCAGGCTGCAGCGGGGAGGGGTAGTCCCCGGCCTCCGGGCTCGTGTGGCCCTGGTATGTTTGGAGAGGCTGCAGGTCCAGGCGCGGAGGGGAGGCGTGAGGCGCGTCCGAGTGCTGGCTGCCCAGAGAGCCGCAGACAGCGGTTAGCATTGCCGGGATGCGGGGTGGGGTGGGGGACAGGGACGGTCAGGGGCACCTCAAGTGGGACCTAGAGGAGGCAAAGAAGAGGAGAAGTGAGAAAAATCACCAGCTCACTTTCTACCCCAACCTACATCCTTCCCTGTAACGTGCCCCTCTCCAAGCCCCCAAGTGAAAAAGAGATGCTCCCCTGGTTGGGGGCTAAAGATCAGTTAAGAGAGTTTGAGAGCCCTAGGAAGGGCTGAGGATGGGAAGTTCTTGGCCAAGGGCAGAGAATGGTGGAAGCCTACCTTCCCCTGGGTTATCTCCCCCGGGGGCCCAGCTTATCTGGGGAGCTGGGCTGGTCTCAGGCTGGTAGGTGGGATACTTCCACGGTGAGTGCTCAAGCCACCCCACCCCAGCTGCCCAGGTCAGCTTGGGGGGCAGTGGCACGTGCCCCCTGCAGACCTGCTGCCAACCCAAGCGCAGGATCTAAACCCATCCCAGCTTTCCCAGTTTCACTCAGGACACAGATGGGGAGAGGGAGTTGGTCTGTTTCTGAAACTCAAAGCTTGAGGGGATCTCACTTCCTAAAGTCCAAAGCAGATTCTGAGATTTTGGCGAAAAAGCCCTCACTCCACTGCTGAGGCGTGTTTAGGGAGGAGAGCATTTCACTGCTAGACCTCTCGCCTCCCGGCTCCCTGCCTGGCCCCACCAAACCCACTCCCACGCCTGGCCCCCAAACCTTTCCTTCAGGCGGGGGCTCCCCCTCCCTGGGGTGCTGCAGCACTGCCAGTTTCTGGGGGGGCCTTCTGGCCACCAGAGAAAGTTAAGCCCCTTCCGGGCCCTGACCCACACGGGGGCCCGCCGGCTCTCTGGCTGCTACCCGTGCCCTCCTTCAAGGGACGGGAGACCCAGCTGTGAGGCTGGGAGGGGTACGAGAAGGGGGTCAGGAAGAGGAGAGCTTACCAGCAAGCTCAGGAAGGCAAGGCTGCCACCCCCAAGGGGTGCAGGGTCAGAGTGGAGGAGGCAGAGGGCTGCAGGAAAAGCCCGAATCACAGCAATAAAAGGCAAGACTTGCCTAAAGAGATTTTATAAAGGGGTGCATTGTAGGCATGGATCCTTTTTAGCAGTCACACAGATAATTCTAACATGCAGCCCAATGTTGAGAACCACCGCTCAGGCGACCTCTCTTATTTTTTTTCAAAAAGAGGAAACTGAGGCAGTATTTGGAGAAGTGACTCGAACAAAGACACTCATTTATTCATTCAGTCAAAAATACGTACTGTATGTACCTCTGTGAGCCAGGTCTCTCCACTCTTTCCCTAAACCACTGGGAACATGAAGACCTCCACCGTTTCTTGCCCTCTTGAACGTCCCTTTCTTCTCACCACCTCTCCCTAAGGCCTGGGAGCCCTGGTGCCCCAGGTGTGGGGTTTGTATCCCTGGGCCTCCTCTGATTGGGGGCGGGGAGGTGCCCTGGTTTAGGGAAGGCACGTCCCAGAGCAGGGCTCGGCTGACCCTGCTATCTTCTTCTGCCTCTGGGACCAGGGAGGTGGCCACGGGTAGTCTGGCAGAGGGAGGCGGGGGGACTGGGGCGCCTACTCAGGCTCCTGCTGCTTCACCACAAGAAAGGAATAGGGTGAAGCAGCAGGAATGGAGCCTCAGGCCCAGGCAGGGCAGCCCAGAGGGGGCTGGGCGGGAGCAGTGAGGCCTGGGACCCTAATAGCTCTTGGCGCCGGGATACGGCCTCGAGGGCTAGGGGGTGGGGAGGCTACCGACCCAAGCTCCAGGGAGCGGCCCCTCCCGGCTCAGGGCAGGGAGCCCAATGCTCGGGTGCAGGGCCTGCCAGCAAGGTTTCGGGGAGGAAGACAGCGGGACGCGCACTCCCGGCTTCGCGTTCCCCAGAGCGATTAGGCGGCTGGAGACACCCTCCTCCCCTTCTCCGCCAGCCGCCTCTCCGGATCTCCGGCACTCAGGTGGTCGGACTTCCACACTCCCAGTCCTCAAGGTTCAAGTCCTCCGGTTTTCCCAGTCGCTCCAGTTTCCCCAGTTTCCAGCCTCCTCGGTCCCTCCAGTCTCTCCCGTCCACCCAGTTTTCACTCCGCCGGGGCTCTCAGCCCTCGGATTCACCTTCCCCAACGCCGTAGGGGGCCGAGGCGCGTTCCGGGCACGTCTTCCCGAGGATCCCGGTGGCGCTCAGCCCTCGCCGCCCCGACCGGGGCTCCTACCTCGAGGCTGCACTGGGACTCCGGGCACGGCGGGCAGGCGCGCTATCCGGCGGGCGCTCCCGGGCCCTGCGCGCTGGCGGGCTCTCCAGCAGCGAGGCGCAGGGGCCGAGGGCCAGCGGGGGCCGCGACCCGACCCTGCGGAGGAGGGGCGGAGGGCGGGCGGGAGCCGGCGAGCGAGCGAGCGAGCGAGCGAGCTTGCGAGCGAGGCCAGCTCCGCCCGTGACTCACCCGCGCACTCTGCCTGCATCCCCAGCCCTGCGCTCCTTTTTCCCCGAAATCACGGCCCCGCCCACCTCACCTGCGGCCGCCTTTAACCCTTGCGGGCTCGACTGGACTGGAGGCCCTGCTGGCCCGGCCCGCGACGAGGGGGCGGAAGGGGGGTGTGGGAGGGATCGCTAACTAGGTCGCCACCCGCCCCCTCGCTCGCTCCTCCCTTGTCCCCCCACGTCCCGGGCGAGGGGCCCGGGCGGAGTGTTTCCCAGGTTAGGAGACCCGCCCCGCGGCGGGGAAAGCTGCCCTCGAGCTGGCTCGGCCTGGCTGGGAACGCGGGGCGGCTCAGACCCCGGGGGGAGTGCAGGGGTGGGGGCGGGTCCTGGGGCGATGCCGAGCCCCCTTAGGGCGCCGTTTGCCCCGACGGCCCTCAGCCCACCAGCGTTGCCGCGGAACTGAGAGGAAAGAAGGAAACAGGACTGAGCGCCAAGTATGTGTCCAGTCTACCCCAGCCCTAGGCCGTGAGAAATTTATCTTGGCTGCTGCCCTCCTTCCCTACTCGCCCCGCCACTTCTCTCCACCACCGCCTCCCTCCCCCGTCCTTCACTCTCGCTCGCTTTCCGGTCCTCCCTCTCCGGCCACTCGCCTTTTTGGGGTGACCCCCTCCTCTTCTCTCCCACCCCCTTAGCTCCCCCCTGCCCTTCGCTGCCGGCCCCCACTGCTCCCCCAGACCCCCTCAGCTCGCACTCTCCATCTCCCCTTAAGCAGCGACCCGGCGCCTACTAAATCCTCCTCCCGAGCAGCGTCCCAACCCGCGCCCCCGCGCCCCCGCGCCCCCGGCCCAGGAGGCCGGGGCAGGCGCCAGAACGGCCCGGGAAGGGCCACTTCTGAAGAGAACTGAGCGGCCCCTCGCTATCCCTCCTTCCCGATTCTCACCTAAATGTTAAGAACCTTAGGTTCTTAACTTTGGGGGAGGATCTGGGGTGTCCCCGACAAAAACGAAGGCACCTAATTTAGCAGCATTCTGGCAAAATTTCGGGGCCTTCATGGCTCCCACCTCCTTCCAAGAACCGAGCTGATCGAGATGCAGAGCGCGGGCGGCAGCGGCGCCCCCTCCCCCGGCTCCCGCCGCGCGCCTGGCCGGCCTCTGCGCCCCGCGGTCTGAAGCTCCTTTCCCGGTTCGTGTCTCTTCTGTCCGCCGCGTTGACCTCCCGAAGTGACCCTTGTCTTGTAAGGGAATTCTGATCACTTTCGTATTTTTTTTCCCCCGTTGCTCCCGTTGGCTTTCCCTAAGCGCTCTGCCATCGGCCTTTTAAATTTTCTTGGCTTTTTTTTTTTTTTTTTTTTTTTTTTTAATCTTTACAGTTCTTTTGGCACAGCCGACCTGGAATTCAGGTTGATTCAATCTCGCTTCTGCAGCGCGATTCTGCCACCATTGGTTTACCGGTCTTGCATTCCCGTTTGGGACACACTCGAAATGCGACTATAAAATGGTTAAACTGAATCCACAAGCCAACTGAAAAATCGATCTTTGTGTATGTGGTTTCCCAAGTAACACACAACGTTCTCACGTCCAGAGTCAACGTCTGACTTATCTGTGCATCTCCTGTTTTCTATGACTAGTCTCCTCATCTAGACAACGTGGACATGAGTTTGGGAGAGTTTCCTGGGGCTGAAAGGAATTGATGTATTTAAAATACTTAGCTCCGTGGGTGCCTGGTAAGCTCACAGTAGACGAAAGATATCGTCACTGTTGTTGTTAAGACTTATTTAAAAAGTCTCCCTGCAAATATCTATTGGATTAAGATATATTCACAAAGGTCTTTGGACTAAAAGTTGATGGACCTCAACTCCAGCCCCAGCCCTGTACTTGCTAAGCTGATCTGGCCGGTCAGGTTGCCCTGAGCCTCGGTTTCCTTCTCCATGAAATCCCGTTAGATCAGCTGCCCTGGGGAGTCAACGGAGAGGCACCTTCCCCCACCCCCAACGCAACCCGTGAGAGTGCACTTTCTGATCAGTCAGGTTTCCTTCTTCCTGACACCCAGGCTCCTCTTGATAGATTATTGAGAACTGCCCTTGATCTTTGTGGCCACAGCTACATTGACAGCCCTCTCTAGCCTCATGTTTTTCTCACTCAGCCTGCAGATGTTGGCTATATGGGTTTGCATCCCAGTTCACAGCCATGTCAAGGACAGAGTTAGGGGCTCAAGCCACAGACCATGCGACTCAGGTTCCTGGGTTAAGTCCAATTCGACCTCTAGACATTCTTTGCCTCCTCCTGCCTATTGCCCTGTAGCCTTCCGGCTGCCCCAAAGCTACTGCTCTTAAGGTGCTAACACTCCTCAGATACCAGACTCTGGGTGGGGGACCGAGTTCCCCCCTCCCATTATTTATAGGCAGCAGATTGTCTAATCTTTCTGGTTTCTTCCGTTTCCCTGAAAAGCAACAGGGAAAGGGATCCAGCCCCCAGATGGTAGACATCCCACCCCACTCTCACCCCAGGTCCCCTTGAACCCCACCTCACTCTGACCCACAGATACTTGGGTTCCCAGAAGCAAAGACCCTTCGTTTGCCCAGTGGCTCATCAGCATG